CTGTATTCTATTTGCTAGGATTTTATTGAGGATTTTGGCATCTATGTTCATGAGGGAGATAGGCCTATAGTTCTCTTTCTTAGTTGCACCTTTCCCTGGTTTTGGTATTAGTATAATACTTGCATCCAGGAATGATTTTGGGAGGATTGCTTCCTTTTCAACTTCACGGAAGAGTTTGAGGAGTATAGGAACTACCTCTTCTGTAAATGTCTTGTAGAATTCAGCTGTGAATCCATCTGGACCTGGACTTTTCTTTGCCGGTAGGTTTTTAATTATATCTCGTATTTCATTTTCTGTTATTCTGCTGTTGAGAGTGGTTATATCTTGTCTATTCAGTTGTGGTAATTTGTACCTTTCTAGGAATCTGTCCATTTCTTCTGTGTCTTCTATTCTGTTTTAGTAAAGAGTCTCAAAGTAGCTATTGACAATCTGAATTTCCACTGAGGCTGTGGTAATTACACCGTTTTATTCCTTATTGCTTGTATTTGGATGTATTCTTTCCTCTGTTTGATGAAGTTACCTAGGGGCTTATCAATTTTATTTAGTCTTTCAAAGAACCAGCTTTTTGCTTTTTTAATTCTTTGATTGTTTTCCTTGTCTCAATTGCATTAATTTCTGTTCTAATCTTTATGATTTCCTCCCATCTTTGGGCTGTGGATTTGGTTTGCTCTTCCTTTTCTCATTGTTGAAGGTGCATCATCAGGGTATTTATTTGTTCCCATTCTGTTTTCCTAATGTTTGTGTTCACAGCTATGAATTTCCCTCTGAGAACTGCTTTAATCGTATCCCATTAATTTCGATAAGTTGTGCTTGTATCTTCATTGAGTTGTAGATATTGTTGAATTTCTTCTTTAATTTCATCTGTGACCCTTTGGTTGCTGAGTAGGGTGTCATTTAATTTCCATGCATTTAAATTCTTTTCTGGTTTCTTTAGTCATTTATTTGCCGTTTCATCGCACTGTGGTCAGATAATGTGCATGGGATAATTTCTGTTTTCTTGCATATACTTAAGCATGACCTATGGACCAGTATGTGGTCTATTTTAGAAAATGACC